AGCGTGGTCGGTTTTTTGCATACAGAAACCGACTTGGTCGGTTCGGCGAGGATTTCGACCAAAAACCAACCCCGTCTGATCGATGCTCACCCTTATTCCAAGTAATCAATTTTGGATTTTAAAAATTAATTAATATTTGAGATGAGATACAAAATGATATATTAGTAAATTGGATAATGGGTACCATCTTTGTTTCATGACAAAACTGTAAATTTTATACAATCATTAGCCTATCAATATACTAATCCCCAATTTCATTAATTAAAACGATTGATTTGGACTTTTTTCTTAATATTATTAATAAAAGTAAAATTAATTATTAAAATATTACAAACCATCATTTTTCTTATTGGGGTTTTTTTCTTCCTTTTCATTTTGACAAGTTTGTTGGCTCTTTTAATTAATTATTAAACTTTCATCAAATTGAGGTTCAATCTTCTCCTTTCTTAGTTTATAATCTATCCAGTCAAAGGAATAAACAAGTTTCAATATGTCGTCTCACGAATAAAAGAGACTAAACATCATATATCGAAGTTTTTTTTTTTGAACTTTAGTACAACATATAGAATGATGGATTGATTTCACAATTTTTTGAATGAAAATATATGTCGGTTTAGTTATACTCGTTTTGACAAGTTTTTTCTTTAACTTTAAGTGGCACGTGTCGTTTCCTAAAGTAGACAAATTGGTGAAATAATAAAAATCGCATTAGATTTAAAATTAGTTTGTGGTTGGTAATATTTTAATAATTTTTTATTACGTAATATTTTAATAATTAGTCATAGTTTTAATATTAAAAAAAAAAGTCAAAATCGAGAGCTATTCACCTTGGGTTAAAATTGTGAATTGTGTGGGTTATTTGAATATTTGTTAGAAATGTGAAGCATATATATTAAACTTTATTTATTTATTGTTGAAATTGTGATGGTAGAGATCGCAACTTTTTATCGGAAATAAGCGCTTCACGCAAATTGTATAATCTAGTTTAAGCTTTTAATTTTACTAATGAAATTATTAGTTTGGTATTTAATGTAGGAGTATAAATGGGCTTGGGTTCTTTCCAAATAGAGGAAAAAAGAAAAAACAGTTGCGACGGCAAATTTCCTCCCGAAGCCCGCTGGCGGCAACACAACCCTCGTTTTTTGAGGAAAAAAAGAACCCAGCCCTCGTTTTTTCTGCTCTGGTGCTTCGATTTCGAGCGTATCCGTAGCTCTCGGTTCAACTCTCTCTCACAATCGATAACCGCACTCGTACTCTGTATGCATCTCTAACCTTGATTTTGTTGTTGTTACGGTTGTGGGTCGAAGATTACTACTGGAAGAGCCTGTGAGGTTGGGTTCTACAGCTTCAATTTGTGCATGATTTTTGCTTTTGCTTTTCCTTCTTCTCTAATTCTCTAAGTAATTGGAATTCCTTTTCGGTTGTTTACCGTGAATCTAGAGGTTGCTGCATCAGAAAGGGCTGTGCAGGACAGAGATGAGCTACAATGAGTAGGTTGTCATTCAGGCCTCGTCCGCTTGACATTCATAAGAAGCTCCCTATTGTCAAGTCTGTGAAAGAATTAGAAGATGACGAAACCCCCACTTCTACCCGCAATTCCCAACTGATTCGTAGCGCGGTTGAGGTAGATAATGAGGTACTTGCACTGTATTTATCTTTCTTTGTCCTTCCCGTCATCCCATGTTTGTTTGTGTCAATCTAAAGGCTTTCCCCGTAACTTAGGTACATCAAGTGCCTTGCAAGAAATTGGCTCCTGATATACCCACTCCTCAATTTGTTGTGGTCGATACATATGAGATAGACTACTCCCGCACTTTTAGTCAACCAACTTCCTACTTACGTGGCAGAGGAGGTTGGTGAAATAGAGAATTCTGTAGATGGTCTTTTGGCTAGTAACTCTTCTGCCATTACCAATGTGTGTTGTAAAAAAATATGTTCACATGTTCTTAATTTTCAGCTCGGACAGAACTTGGAGAGTTTGTTGAGTACGACTTGGACAATGAAGATGAAGATTGGCTTCTAGACCTTAACAGAGAAAGGAAGATACTTACTCCTGAAAGGCAAGCACCCTCCCCCTTCCTGATAAAACTTAAAAGTGTTGAAATCATCATACGTAGACAGAAGGAGTTGCTTGATTGTCTTTCCTGGTGTGAGAAGTTGCTTAACACCCTGTAGTAGCCACTCATTATCATTTGTCTCGTTATTATTCATAGTTGTGTCAATTCCTTGTATGTGTTCCAGATTCAAATGAACAGTTTATGGCAGTTAGGTATTTGGACTCACTCTCTTGCATATGCCATTTCCTTTATTTTGTTTGGAAAATTTCCTTAGTTCATTTAAACTCAAATTTTTTTGTTATACACAGTTTTATCGGTTTAAGATATGGATTCTGGAAGCTTGTTTAACTTATTTTCATTTGGATGCGATTGAAAATAAGTCCTTTATATTGGAGTTTGATGGGGGAGAAAAGAAGAGTAAAGAATGGAAAGCTGATAAGATTGGTAGTAACAACTGTGATTGACTGAGTCGTCATCTTGGTTTTGCATTATGGGCAATCTGATATCGTTTTCAAGGTACACAGTTGATATACAATACTATGTGGCAAGATAGAGGATCACCACTTGGAGTTCAAGTTCAAGATTGTGTCAGTGTTAAAAGATATTTTAGTTTCCCTCATCATGGAGTTATTTTTTTGGCTTATTTATTTATTATTTTTATTATGGCTAACCTGAGTGGGTTTATTAAAAAAAAAAAAAATCCTCTTTTTTTTTGTTTTTCCGGAGCTCCCCTGTTAATTATTTTATGGTCATGGAGGTGTATTTGTCAATGCAGATTTGAGAGTTTCCTCTTTAAGTTGGAGGTATTGGATCACAAGGCTCGAGAAAGAGCTGGTATCATAACAACTACTCTTGGTTCACCCGTTCCTGTACTCCTACAACATGATAATGCTATTGAGGTGATACTTTTATATCATGCTTGGGCACTTTGTACTAACTTTAATTTCATATTGGTTATTTATTTGTAGATCCAATGAACATTACTATATAAGTCTCTTCCATTTGATTTTTTTATTGTTCTATGCTAAGCGATGCATCGATAGTCGAATGTGTCACTTTCATTTGAAACAAGTAGTTATCCAAAGATACTATCTTATGGTTTAGATGGGAAATCAAAATATGTATGAATGTGTCACTTTCATTTGAAACAAGTGGTATGCTAAGTCATGTTGGTTGATGAGTAGTTTCCCCTCTAGGTTTGAGAATATGTGGTTCTCCCACCATTCTTTCAAATCTTCCCTTCGGTCTTGGTGGAATGTTGATGTCCCTGGTAGGTGGGAAGGCTATTGTTTTATGGGGAATCACCCTCTTTCAGAGGGGTTTTAAAAGCTTGGAACCATGATGTTTTTGGTGATGTGAGGATTAAGAAACAAGAGGCTTTGGGGAGAATTAAGTTGGATGGGTTGAAAGAGGAGGGTTTGTTGAACGAGGATTCAAGGGAGGAGAACTGAACCCAACCCAAATCGAGAAATTTCGGTTTGGGTTGGGTTGTTGGGTCACCGGGTTTTTTTGAATGCCCTTAGCTAATAGGCTTAGGAAAGTTCGTCTGAGAACACCCCCTAGTGATAGGCTTAGGAAGGTCCTTCCTCAGATGATATCTAACTTCCAAGGTGACTTTATCATGGGTAGACAAATCTTGGACCAATCCCTCGTAGCCAATGAGGCTATTGAGGACTATGGGTCTTGTAATGCAAGAATGGATCTTTAAGATTGATTTCGAGAAGGCTTACAATCATGTGGATCGAGATTTTTTTGGATAAGGTGCTTTAGAAGGAACGTTTTAGGTATAAATGGAGATCGTGGATGTGGAGTTGTATTAGGAGAGTTAAGTTCTCCATTCTCATTAATGGGAAGCGGATAGGTAAAATTCTTGCTTAGAGAGGGTTGTGGCAAGATGGTCCTCTTTCCCTTTCCTGTTTTTGTTGGTTGTGGACGTTCTTAGTTGAGTGGTCTCGAGAGGGGTTATGGGTGGCATTTTCGGAAGGTTTCTAGGTGGGGAGGGATAGGTTGACTTTGTATCATATTCAGTTTGCCGATGGTACAATATTTTTATGCTCTAGCAAGCAAGGAAGAGTCATTTGTTAATCTTAACTTTCTATTGGCATCATTTTTGAATCTATAGTGTCTATGGTTGTATCTTGGTGCAAATGTTCTCCTATATTTAAACACTATAGCTTTGTTTCTCTTTTAACCAATTGGAGAGCCTTTTTGTAACTCCTTTGGTTTGGGATATTCCCCTTTTGTATTCCTTTTCCATTTCATTATATTAATGAAATCTGTTTCTTTTCAAAAAATAATAATAATAATAATAATAATAATAATAATAATAAAAATAAATAAAAATAAAATAAAATAAAAAAATTTGTTAATCTTAACTGTCTCTTGTCTTTCTTTTAGCTGATAATGATATCAATATGAAGATTAATAAAAGTAAATGTTATGTCTTAGGCATTAACTGTGATTCCTCTAAGTTGGTTAGGTGGGCTTTTTGGTGGGATGTGAGGTATGATCCTTTCCTTCTTCATATCCGAGTCTTCCCTTAGGGAACATTAATAGAGCTTTGTCGTCCTGGGTTCCCATTATGGAAAAGGTGTAGAAGTGTCTCTCCCTGGAAAAAAAAATGTTTCTTCTCCGAGGGAAAAAGTAACTCTTATTCAGTTTGTTTTAAGCAAAATTCCAACATATTTTCTATCTTCATTTAGAATTCCTGTGTCCATTAGCAAAACCTTCGAGAAAATTATGCCAAGCTTTCTATGGGAAGGGATTGATGAAGGAGCGGGGACTCATTTAGTCAATTGGGAGTTTGTGCCGAAGCCTTTGGATCTAGGGGGTTTAGGTATTGGCAATTTAAGGCTACACAATGAAACCTGGTTGGCGATATGGTTATGGCGCTTCTTGCCCGGAGTCAGATTTAGGGTCATAGTGAGTAAGTATGGTTCTTATCCCTTTGAATTGGCATCTGGCAGGGGTTCTAAAGACACTTCTAGGAATGTGTGGATAGGCATCTATTCCGGCTTTCTCTTTTTCTTAGTTCGTTCATGGTTTGGTGGGGGTTTGAAATAATACTTACTTGTGGGAGGATAAGTGGCTAGGGGATCGTCCCTTCCGTTTTCCCTCACTTGTACTATCTTTCTTCTAATGGCTTTAGTTTCGCCTCATTTAGGCAACAATTCTTGGTTGGTTCTTGGCTTCTGTCGTTGTCGTTCTTTGTCTGTTAGTGAGATGTTGAATCTTGTGGCCTTGTTGTTAGATTGGTAGGAAGGATTCTTGCAAATCCTTTTTCTCGTGTCCAGCAGATCTTCTTCCCTCTTGCTGCTCTTTTTTTCTTTGCTTAGGAAGATTAAGATTCCAAAGAAGATTAGATTTTTTGTTTGGCAGGTCTTACACGGCAGGGTTTATACTTTAGATCGTGTCACAAGGCACTCTTATTTTTCGATTGTGCATCAGTGCCCTGTTCTTTGTAGGGGAGTAGTTGGGGATACCCTCCGTTGGACTTGCCAGTTTGCTTCTTTTGTTTAGGCTTTTGAGGTTTGCTTTGTTCGTGGTAGTGAGTGTGGCTCAATGTTAGAGGAGGGGTTGGTTTTTGTAGCAGACGGGTTTTTTAGTTGTTTTGTTGGATTTGTGGAATGAGAGAAACAACAAGATCTTTAGAGGGGCTTGAGAGATCTTGGGAGGAGATTTGAGCCCTGGTTAGGTTTAACATTTTCGCTTTAGGTTTCGTTTTAAAATTTTTTTGTAGTTACTCCTTAGGTTTGGTCTTGCTAGATGGGAGCCCATTCTTTTAGCTTTACTCCTTTGCTTGGATTTTTGGACCTTTTTTATTCTTTCATTTTTCAATGAAAGCATGGCTTAAACGAATGGCTTTGTTGATCAATTTTCGGTTGATACTTCACGTCGTTTCAAAATTGATTGTTTTTTTTTTCAATGCTAGGCACTGCAAACTCAAGCTATCAGATATTCAGTTATCGAATCTGTTTACAATTATTGGAAGGAGAAGGTATGGATAAACCCCTTACTTTTATACAAGTTTTGAATACTTAAAACCCTAGTCATTAAGTGAAGCATTTTTTTTTCTGAAGTAACTAATTGAGTTTTATAATTCTAGCTATGGAGTAGTATCTCGGATGGTATTTTTTCTAATATCAAAGGGTATCTTTTATTGTCATTTGATTCTTTTTGAGTTTTTCTTTTTCTTTCGCTCGTTCATGGGCTTGTATCTTGAACCCAATCAATTTTTCTGTTGGCCATTGATTTCGAGTAAAGGAGTTACATTTATTAACATCACCATTATGGAATTCGGAGAGTCTATTTTCACGACCTCTTTCTATTTTTATCCAATATGCCTTAGAAACTCCCTGCATATCCTTGTTGTTGTTCTAAGATAACAGTGGACTATGATGAGGATTGCCTAGTGTGACATTCATCTCATCACAATCTCTATCAAGCATCAAAGGCCTGTCCATGATCCAAATTTCCTTTCAGAAAGAGTAGTTTGACCAATTCATACAAGTATAGCTAGAAGAATAATGAGCAAACAAATTAGAAAGAAAGCACCCTTGGGAAGCTTTGGAGATAGCTAAATCAAACCGCTCCAACAGTCCAACCAAACTTTGGACTTGTCTTAGAAAATCCTTTTATTCTTTTCAAACCAGATTTGTGAAACTACAGCTTTTACTAGAAGAGTCAGTGTTCTTGTTTTAAAAAGTTTGTTAGACTGTATTGCCTTTTATTTCCCAATTCAGGTTGTGTTCTTGCATTGCAAGTATATTGAACTCTTCTTATATTTTTTACTCATTTTTCTTCTTATATTTTCTTTTTATTAATGGCATGCATAATTGTACTTATTTTATTCTTTTTCTCTCTTGTTAACAGCGTGAACAGTGGCAAAAGCCTATTTTGCGGCGCTTGCAGGTTAACATCATTGCCACATTTTTCATGTTATAGATATTGATGTATGCATGTAACTTTATATTGAGATCGGCTCTTGAGATATATCAAACACACAAAAAATGCAAGGCCATTCATTTTATTTTATTTATTTTATTTTTTTGGGATTATAGAAATTTTATTGAAGATGATGAAATACTCATAACCTTCTATTCCATACAAAAAAGATTCCAGTGGAAAGTAATCATAGTAGGTGAGTAGTTCAAAAAACCTTTGGAGGATGAACTTCATGAAGAAGCAGTAGAGATAATAAAGTCTCAAACTCCCCTCTCCCAAAGGATCTGAAAGTTATTAGGAACGTATTGAACACTTGTTAAGCATAAGATATAGTCATAAGTAGTAATATAGGACAAAATAAGAAGTTTTCAGAGCAAAATACACGAAGCACATTTTTGTAAGCATAAAAATGTATAAACTTATTGACTTTGAATCTCCTTATTGTATAAAAATGATATATACTTTAAAAGATCATATATTTTAATAAACGTGTCCTTACCGTATCCGTGTTCTAGATTTTTAGAAATGTCGTGTCATTGTATTACCTAAGTTGGGTGGAGGTTTCATTGGATAAACTCAAGAGTGGCATGCTGGAAATGCAACAATTGATGGGCTATAAGGCTCGACAACTCAAAGGAAAGAAGGCAAGGATGGAGGACAGCGAGGAATTAATATTCAAGAAAATGCAAGACACTGGGCACATTTCAATAGAGATGAAGAACGCCTGATTAGGCTTGAATTCAAATCATCAAGCAACTTGGATTACTTTCAACAACCATCTCCACTTGCTCCTCCATTCCAAAGAAGCTAGACAGCAACATGTGAAGCAACAAGACAGGGCGTAGGAATTTAAGATGAAAATCGACCTCCCTAGACCACTCTAACTTCCATGCTGGTTAGACCGTGGGCTGCTCACAAGATTTTATGTATTTTATGGGGCCCTTGGAATTAGCTGAAATTAAGGCCTGTGATATTTTGTGAATGATCTTTCATTGTTATTGATTTACTTATAGGTTATCTGTATGGTAAAGGTTGGCAATCAAAAAATTTTGTTTCTCATTTGTGCTGTTACGTGGATCCCATGGTTATCAAGCTCATTATTGAACTTTAACATCATCCCGTAGTCCTCAATCTAAGAACATTCTTTTAGAAAAAGTTTCAGCAGCCTTTTATGATTTTCATCTCAGGGATCTTTGCATTAGAAAAGATGATAGTGTCATCCCGTATGTTTGTGTGTTCTAGTCTTTTTCAATTTTGATTTGTTGTGATATGTACTCTACCCATAATGATATTCATTAGTTACTTTACTTGCTGCCTTTTTATATGCAGCCACCTCCACCTGTCAATGATACAAACCCGTACAATGTGTTTAGGCCAAGGGAGAAAGCACATAGACTTCATACAAGAAGGGTATGGATGATCTTTCCTGACATTCTCCCCTTTTCAATTACTAAAAGATGTTTTTATTTGAGGTTTTCCACAATGCACTTTGTATTTTTATTATTATCCTCATTCTTGATATTTTAAATAGATGCAACGGAGGGAAAACAATGTGCAATCTTTTGAAAAGCTTCGCCAGGTAAATTCTACTATTAAATTTGAATCTCATATTACTTCCTTGTGCTAACAGCTGGTTCTTCATACTGTCTTTCCTCATTTTTTTCTGTGAAATGACGAGTTCTTGTTTTTGCTGCTGTGGGTATGTTTTATTTAATGTACTGTCCTTTTTTTTTTATTAAACATATTACATAATATATATTTATTGGATTCAGTCATGTATTTTAGTCTATCAATTTATGCCTCTTGTCAGGAAATTCGTTAGCTTTTAATATCTTAAATAGGTGGCTGGCATGAATTTGAACTCACTCCTTCAAAAGTCCCTTCACTTTTTTTCCCCGTATGCCATTAGGTCAACTGGGGGTGGGTTTGGTGTTTGATTATTTTTAAGATATTTTTCATTATTCTGTAATTCATGGTTGCACACCTTATAGGACTATTTTGGTTTCAATCTTGCATTCCGCCTAATTGCCATTGGAAAGGGCTTTGTGTGTGTCCTAGGTAGGTAAGAAATTGAACCAAACCCAACCCAGATCGAGTTAGTTAGGTTTGGTTCTTCAGGGTGGTTTGGTTGGAATCAAACTGACTGCTAGCTGATAACTAACTAAAAGCTGGATAAAACCTTTAACAGCTAGCTAACAACCAATTACCTGCTGTAAAAGAGTTAACTAAAAGATAAAGGCTGTAAACTAAATTCTTAAAGCTCCAGCTTACAAGAAGTTTACAAAAGGTGGAAAATAACAAGTTTACAGTCAAGATTTAAAGATTTGACCTGAACTCGTACGCCCTTAGTCTTTGGGCAAAGCTTCTCAATACTTTTGGGGTAAGCTGGTCTTTCCTTTTTCTCATGAGAAGTTGGTTTAGCTCATCCTTGGCCCCATCTAAATTCCCTTGCTAGAATTTTGTGGAAAAATGCAGTGATGGGCCGATAAGGATTTTCGACGGGAAGGAGTTCTGTACAAAAAATCTTTTGGACTTGATTAAGCTCCATTCTTCTTCTTGGTGTCTTCTTTCAAAAGCATTTTGTAATTATGAACTTTTTGCAAATTCATGCCCATTGGGGGAAGCTTTAGTGGAGCTTTTTGTGGGAGGATGGTCTCAAACAGGCTCATGGACAAATTAACAAATAAATTAGAAAGAGAACACCATTGTGAAGTTTTGAATATGGAAATATCAAACCGCTCTAACCAACTCTGCTGCTTATTCTCAAAAACTCTTTGATTGCGTTCAACCCAAATCTCAGAGATGATGACTTTGACCGCATTAACCTATCAAATGAGATCTTGGAGGCAAGGAGTAGCAGAACGAAGATGAAGAAGATTGCATCTTGAGTCATTTGAAAAGATCACAAAATTAACTATCTTGAATAGATGGAACCAACAAGCCAAATCAAAGTAGCAAACAAAGAACAAATGATTCTGCACCTTAGAATCTGGAACACAGTAATCAAATTGATGGCATCAGAAAGGAACGAGGGAGCCCTTTTTGCAAAACTTCAGCTGTGTTTAGGCTACTGTTTAACCAAATCCAAATAAGAATGTTAATTCTCTTGCGACTCTTGGACTTCCAAATTCCCAAAYAACTTTTTTAAGGAAGAAGAATGAGAGTACAGTCTAGATAAGGACTTTAACTGAGATAATACCTGATGAATCGATTTTCCAGCCCCTTGAACCTTCAAAATCTCCTAAGTTAACAACTTCCAAAACCTCCAATGAAGAACTGAACTCACTGATTTCCTCTTTAAAGATCCCTTCTATAAGTAACTTTCCAAGAAAAACAATAGGTATCCCAGTTTAAAAAAAAAAACAGAACCGTTGGGCAATAATGCAACCCTGAAATGCTGAGGAAAGCTGAGTTTAAAGGGAGAATTCCCTAACCAACAATCTTTCAAAAATAAATCCTTTCGCTATCACCAACTTTGGAAGAGGATTGCATTTACACACTCTTCCAAAGTTTAGAGATACTAAACCATGGGCTTCAAAAGGTTGACATTCTTTTTACCAGCCTAGTGGGGGAATGCAAAGCAAAAGAACAGAAAGGGTGGATTTTTTCCCTTTTACAAGGTCTGCATGTAACTTAAAAATGAAGTACTATGAAATAAATGTTGATTTTTTAATTTATTGTGTTAATTTAAAAAATTGATTTCCGACTTGAATGTTCATCACAAATTAATTGCAAGAATATTATTCTTACCCAGTCATTGAGGTGTTATGGTTTGTATAGATGGGTAGGAAGCAAGTGAGCTCAAAGTTGTTTTTGTTTTGCCTTTTCCTTTTGAATGTTATTATCTCAACCATTTAAAGTCCTCTAGATCCCCCAGCTTCGTTAGGTATTTGGTGATATATTCTTCTACCCATCATATTGATCTTAAATTTTGTCCATCTTTTTTTTTCTCTTATTGATAAGCATTTTCAAAATTTGATTATTCTGTGTTTTGGAATTGTCAATTTTCAGGTTAGGCGCAACCTGGAACAAGCTAAAACCTTATTGGAGGCTTTAATTAAGGTGATTACTCATTGTACTCCTGTATTATCATAGGTGCGTTTACATTTATTTTGAAGCAAGTTGTATGACATTGAAACACTGCACTAGCTCATCAGACGTGTTCTTTGTACAGAGAGAGGAGAAAAAGAGAGATCTGATGGATAGTGAAGTTAGCCTTCAGCGGGTTCATTTGAAGTACAAGGTACGT